TTATCTTGCTGGGATCCTATGACCCCAGCTGACTTCCTGCCCTTCAGGTGGGGGGCTGGACTCGATGATCTTCCAAGGTCCCTTCTACCCCTAATGTCTATGAAATCTATGAAATCCTATGGCTTCCCAGAATGATGCCCAAAAATCTTTTTGAAATTCCCAGGTGTAGTGGTGATGACCCAAAAGGGAAAAGAGCTTCTGCTGTAAATTCTCCAGTTTTGGAGGAGGATGCTGAGGAGATTGCCTGTTTTCTGTTGCTTCCTTTCCATACAGCCATAGCCCTGATTTAAAATCTGTTCCTAGAGAGCAGTGTTAGGCATAAATCAGTTTCTGGAGATTTTGTATTTGTCCGCCTGGCCCCTGGTTATGTCTGAATTTACAAATACATGATAATTACTGTGGACTTAAACCAGAAGAGGCTGTTAGCTATCATCTCTTAATCCTGACAGTCAAAGTTTAATGATGTTTGTCACAGTACACCTCCAGCCTGTGTCATCTCCTCCAGAGCATCTAATTTGGACTTCAAGACTCTAGCCAACATCTTTCCTGCAATAGGAACCCATATCCCTTCCCTCCAGATTTTTGGTTTCAGTCTCCGTGCAATCATTGTCCTAATCTCAGATGTAAAATTAGCTCTGCACCTTCAGTTCTGTTCTCTCTCAGGTGAGTGGGTGAGTCCACTAACTTTCAAATCTGGAATCACTCAAAAACTAGCTTACGGTCTCAAATCAATTTGGTGGGACTCAAATCAGATGTCAATAGTACCACCATAATGTATAATGGCTAGAAGACTGATGGATAAAATAGCAGTATTGTTGCTAGAAAAAATGTTTTTAGGATAGCATTTGTTTGAAACATTCATTGCCTTGTACACTGCACAGGTGGCTAAGGGGAAAATAATCTAAAACAGCATCAAATATATCTGTTTCATAGTTTCTAGGGTCGGAAGGGACCTGAGCAGATCATCTAGTTTGACCTCCTGCCATGGCAGGAAAGAGTACTGGGGTCAAATGACCCCAGAAAGGGGTTCATCTAGCCTCCTCTTAAAGACCCCCAGGGTAGGAGCCAGCACCACTTTGCTTGGAAGTTGGTTCCAGACCCTAGCCACCCTGACTGTGAAGT